GTATTTTGGTCAACAGAAGAACCAGATTTTCAGGTCATCACATTTGGGATCCTGGGGACCGGTGTTCCCTCTAAGCTGAGTGAGCGTGAGCCAGCTCACAGTTTTTTAGCCTCCAGCTCACACGTTTTTGTCTCAGCTCAGGAAGGAGGGCTCCAGAGCAAACTAATGTACACAGCAGCCAAATCGCTCACTCACAGCTTTAGTAGAATTTTTGCTCACAAGACTCCGCAGCTTAGAGGGAACATTGCTGGGGACAGTTTTGGGATGTAAGATTTTAGGCTGCAAAGAACTGTGCATGTTCTCCAAAGCTAGGTTTGCCAGCGCTGGGTTGGGAAATACCTGGAGATTTGGGGGTGGAGCCTGAGAAGGGCGGGATTTGGGGAGGGGAGCAAGCTCAGCAAGGTATGAGGCCATAGAGTCCTCCTTCCAAAGCGGCCACTTTCTCCAGGTGGACTAATCTCTGCCACCTGGAGATCAGTTGTAAAAGCAGGAGATCTCCAGCCACCACCTGGAGGGTGGCAACCCTACCCAAAGCCCATTCTCCTCATCAGGAAAACTAACCGAAATCAATATTTTGAAATTTAGAACTTGGGGTGGGGGGAATCACTGGTGTTGAGAGAGAGTGAAGTCTGGAGACAGAAATGGTTTCTAGCAGGCTTCCAGTCTGGCTCCCGCGAATGGCGGACGCATCCTCGGGTCGCTCCCGAGGGCGTCTCGCCCGCCCGCGGTGGAGGAGGGAATCCGCATGAGCGGAGACCCGAACGAGCACCTCAGAAGAGAGGAGCTCGGATCCGGGGCGCTTTAGGGCGCACTAGGGGGGAGTCGCTCTTTCGGCCGAGAGGTCGGAGAACGAGGCTCCCGCCATGCCCTGCCCCATCGGACCTTGCTGCATAGAGTTACAGCAATAACTAACCTAACCTGCTTCTAGGATGCTCTTTTGTCCTTCTAGTCCACTATAGAGCCTGGACTGGATATAGTTAATCCAGAGCAATCTAGAATGCTCCTTTGAATCACAGGATTGAGTCGCCACAAAACCATATAAGTGTGCAGCCAACTGCAACTTCAAATGTTCAACTAGTGCTGAAACAAGTTTCAGCCTTTGCAACCCAGTATCCTTCCTGACTTGATCCAGCTGCAAAATCACAAGACAGCTGATGCATTTCCAAAGTGACACCAGAAATACTAGATTAATTTATTTTTTTGGTACAGCGGACAAGCACCGTGGTATTTTTTTCCCCTCCAAAGCACCTCTGAAATGGAAAGTGCAAAACAAAATTAGACAGATGATGGAAAACTGTCTTAAAAACAGCTCTTTCTTCCCACAGAACTCTGAGGGGGGGAGGGAGAGGGAGAGAGCAGGCAAGAGGGCTTTCCTTTAAAAAGCTGAAACTGTTTTTTCTCCCAAGAGGTCAGCATGGCTTTGGACAGATAATTCACAGTAGCTACAGCTCATCATCGAAACTAAGCCTCTTGGTTCCTATGGAGAACAATGTGGATCTGGGAGGATTGTGCTTCCCCAAACAAACTGCCAAATGAGACCTTGTTAAATTGACTTTTTTCAGTTTAAATATGCAATACAGCACATTCCTGATTATATGGGAACAGTAAAAGGTATAAATATAACTCTGGTTTATTGAAGCTAATGGGATCACTCAGATGTGTTCTGAATTATGAGCACATCCCAGGGACAATTCCCCCCCCCCATCCCTGGTTTGCACTAGGTCAACTGAAATAAACTGTCCTGGTTCCCCCCCCCCCCCCGAGTGTCTGACTGTACCCTATCACAAAACATTCAGAACCCAAGGAGTTGCACAACTTCCAGTGTCACCGAAATGTTTCCTCTTTTTGACATTTCCTCCCCTCTGAAGGGGAAAAAAAAGAATGTGGCAATGCTGGAACTGCACTCAGGATGGAAATATAATGAGATTCCTTGTGGGGCCATTCAGGATGGTGGGCAGGGTTGCCAACTTCCAGGTGGGGGCTGGAAATCTCCCAGAACCACAACTGTATGCATTTATGTATTATTCATTTATTTATTTAAAAGATTTGTTTCACTTCTCGTGGAGAAAAGGTGTCAGGAGGGCGCTGTCAACCCCCTCCTGACTATGCAGGAAAACACCCACTTAGCGGTTGAAAGATTGAAGGTCAAAGAAGACGGGGACGGCAAAGGATGAGATGGTTAGACAGTGTCATTGATGCAACGAACATGAAATTGAGTCAACTTCAGAGGACGGCGGAAGACAGAAGGGCCTGGCGGGAGCTGGTCCATGGGGTCGTGAAGAGTCGGACTCGACTGTGCGACTGAACAACAAAAGCGGTTGACAAGGTCCTAGACCTTTTCCCGGGGGTCCCGGGGTCATGGCCCACTACCCACAGAGAGGGGACTACCCTAAGAAGGGAGGGGGGCGAGATCGTGGAACCACCTGGGCGGGACGTCAGGGTCCCGACCGTTGGAAGTATGGATGGCGGGGGGAACATGGAGACCAAGGTCCCTTGGAGTCCCGGCTGGTGGCTAGGTTACTTTAAGAAGTGGGTGGTGGGCGAAACAGGTGAGAAGGTTGAACGAATAAAAGGTCCACACAGGTGATGCCAGGGAGAGGAAGGAGAAAGTTCATGAGTTGACAGAGAGGAGGGAGCATTATCCACTCGTACTCGTCTAAGTGAATTCTCTCGGTTGTCACAAGTGGAGAGAACTTGAAAGACAACGTTTCTGAGGCAAAACCATCCTGGATTCGAGTCACAACCGCTTCCAACCCACCCCGAATCTTACTCCTGACAAAAGGGCTGCTCAGGAAGGTGGATTGCGTGGCATGATACCTACCAAAGTCCCTTCACCCCCTTAACTCACTCATCCTCAGATCTCCAGGTATTTCGGAACCCAGAGCTGGCAAAAATAATGGTAGACTTGGGGGAAACGGGCGAGCCTCACCAGGCCTTTCCCTTTGGCGCATGCAGGAGTGAAACACACATGAAGCTGCCTTATACTGAATCAGACCATTGTTCCATCTGAGTCAGTACTGTCTACTCTGACGGGGAGTGGATCTCCAGGGTCTCACCCAAGGTGATGCAAAAACATTTCATACCACCGGATCCTTTTGACTGGAAATGCCAGGGACTGGACCTGGGACCATCTGCATGCCAATCAGGTGCTCTACCACTGAGCCATGGTCCCTCCCTGAGTGGGTCCGTATTATTTGTGTGTTGTTTGTGTATGTATCCAATGCTCCCTCTAAGCTGTGGAGTCTTGTGAGCAAAATTTATACTTTGTGAGCTATTGGCATTAAAGTTGTGAGCGAGCGAGTTGGCCGCTGCATAAATCAGTTTGCTCTGGAGTAATCCTTCCTGAGCTAAGACAAAAATGTGTGAGCTAGAGGCTAAAAAACTGAACTAACTCACACTAACTCAGCTTAGAGGGAACACTGGCTATCACCTACTATTGGTATCTCCAGAGTCTCTCAGGTACATCCATCCATTTTGGCCTTAAGGTCCTTTGACATATGTGTAACGTGTTGGGGTGTGTGTAATACACATATGTAATACATCTGGTGATCCAGACAAAGGCAGAAAGGCTGTGCTCCAGTATGTGCCTAATTTCCACGAACATCTTTCTACGGCGGTGGCTAGCTATTCAGAAGTTGGAAAGGAAGAACTCGTATGGGAAATGTATTCATGGCTGTGGGATTCGGTCCTGCAGATCTGGTCCGTTAGGAGAAGTACTTTCCTCCCCTGCAAGGAAGGCAAAAAGTGGAAAGGGATGCATAATGGAGAATTTCACTCTCACATAGGCATAAAGTAGGGTCATCTGATTCAGGGAGGAGTGCAAGAGAGCTCCCTTTGACTGTGTGTAAGGGGCTGTGTGTAAGGGGCTGTGTAAGGGGCTGTGAGGCCTAGCTGAGACATTTAAGAGAAGCTAAATGCCGTCTTCCTGACCTGTATGGCCCAGGCTGGCCCGATCTCGTCAGATCTCAGAAGCTGAGCAGGGTCAGCCCTGGAGAGTGCTTGGTTGGGATGCCACCAAGGCGGTCCAGGATTGCCACACAGAGGTAGGCACTGGCAAACCACCTCCGTTTGTCTCTTGCTGTGAAAACGCAACTGGTCAACATAAGTTGGCTGTGATGTGACGGCACTGTAGTTGTTGTTGTTCAGTCACACAGTCGAGTCCGACTCCTCGCGACCCCATGGACAAGATCTCGCCAGGCCTTCCGGTCTTCCGCCGTCCTCTGAAGTTTGCTCAACTTCATGTTCGGTGCATCGATGACACTGTCTAACCATCTCATCCTTTGCCGTCCCCGTCTTCTTTGACCTTCAATCTTTCCCAGCATCAGGGTCTTCTCCAGTGAGTGCTCCCTTCTCATTTGGTGGCCAAAGTATTTGAGCTTCAGTTTCATTATCTGGCCTTCCAGGGAACAGTCAAGGTTGATTTCTTTTAGGATTGACTGATTTGATCTTCTTGCAGTCCAAGGGACTCTCAAGAGTCTTCCCCAGCACCATAGTTCAAAAGAATCTATTCTTCGGCGCTCGGCCTTCATTATAGTCCAACTCTCACAGCCATGCATGACTATTGGGAATACCATTGCTTTGACCATGCGGACCTTTGTTGGCAGGGTGATGACATACACAATTTTTTTGGCAGGGTGATGTCACTGTAGACACACACACAAATGCTGTCACACTGTGGCAGGGGCATCGAAGTGTGATCCCGAAACTTAAATATTAAAGTAACAGGTGCAGAAAGGATGTTGGTTGCAGCAGCGCTGATTCCCCACTTGGGACCCAGAAATAGGAAGATAGCAGAAGGCGTCTGCCTAGGAAGCCTTAGTTTGCACAAGCAAGCCAACACCACAAAAAGAGGAATTTAATGTGCTTACAAAATGCTTCTGGGGCAGAGCCAATCTATCCATCTATGAGCTGGGCCGCTCCCCCCCCCCCCCCCCCCCCCTTGTCTCTGGAGCTCTTATTTATGCTGTTGGATTAGTTGTTTACTTGCAAAAGCTGAGCCCTGTACCAGAAGCAACATGGCCCTCTACAATGCCTCGGAGCTGGAAGGGAATGGCACGGTGACAGGGGAGACGCGCGAGTACATCTCTGTGCTTCCAAGCATGTTCCTCCTCGCTTGCTTCCTGGTCGGTCTCCCCGGGAATGGCTTTGTGGTCTGGACTATTGTTACCAAGTTCTCCCAGCGCTCTTTGACCCTTCTCCTCATCCTGAACTTGGCCATCACGGACTTGGTCGTCATGAGCACTGTACCCTTCTGGATCTACTCTTTCCTCCACGGCTGGGTCTTCGGAGACATCTTCTGCAGGCTGCTCAAGTTCCTCGTCTACTTGACCATTTACGCCAGCATCTTCCTCATCACGCTGATGAGCCTCCATCGCTTCGCCGCTGTGGTCTTCCCGTTTGCCTCCCAAAAGCTGTGGCGGCCGCGCGTGGTGCACTGTACGTTGCTGCTGCTCTGGGTGGCTGCGTGCTTCTTTGGAAGCCCGATTCTGATAGTGTCATCCAAGCCCAAGGTGGACGGAGTGTGCGCAGACGAAATGTACTATACCGACCAACAGCGAGTCACGGTTAACTTTGTGGAGACCTTATTTGGCTTTGTGATCCCTTTCACTGTGATGGCTGTCTGCTACTCCTGTGTCCTGAAAAGGCTTCAGATGCTGAAGAGCCACAAGAAAATGAAGACGGGGAGGCTGATTACAGCGGTGGTCCTTGCTTTCTTTATATGTTGGCTCCCTTACCACATCTTCAACATCCTCATCAGCGTAGCACTGCTGCTGAAAGAGGGACACCCAGAGAAGGCAGACAACTTGCTCGGAGTGACCAGAGTGGCAATGAACATTCACGGGGCCATAGCCTTCGTCAGTAGCTGCCTGAACCCTATCCTGTATGCGTTCGCTGCGCGGAGCTTCCGGGGAGGGGTACGGGAGAGCAATTTCGCCAAGTTGTTTGCCAAAATTCATGAGGACTCGGTGGAAAAATCTGTGGAGAGATCTACAGGGGACAGTGGTCTTTCAATGGAGAAGTTACAGAATTAAATATTTTTCTTCTATCCTGAGCGCAAGCCATCTGTACCCACATGCGCTCCTGGAGAGGACTTCGGAAGTTGCTGGAATAAATGCCTGGTAATCGCATCTTTATCTGAACAGCAGTTTTCCAGTGTGGAGAATCCTTTCTGCCTGCCATTGCAACCACACAGTGATGGTTTTCTGTATTTCTTCGGTTGGTGCTGTGAATGCAGAGGTATGCACGGTTGCAATGGAGCATCCACATGGTAGCAGGACTGTAGACTCCTAAATCTGGGGTGTGTGTGTCAGAGGGGCACACCTAGAGAAGGTGTGGGGCCAAAATCTATAAGGCTGTTCAAAAGTAAATGATGTAAAATAGATCTTTATTGCGTAAATTAACAATAAATGTACCAAAGCTAACTAAAATATTCGTTAGAACAAATGTAGTGTGTGTGTGTATACACATACATACACATACGTATACTAGGATTGTTCAACAATGAATGTATTTCTTCTGCTTTGTGTTCTCTTGGTGAACTTTTTAAGCTATAGTCTTAATAGGCTGGACTTCTGCAGGAAGAGAAGCGGTGTCAGATCCCAGTTGGGAAACTCCTGGAGGTTTGGGGGGGAGGGAGCCTGGGAGAGGACAGGGACCTCAGTGGGGTACAACGCCACAGAGTCCACCCTCCAAAGCATCCATTTTCTCTGAGGGAACTGATCCCTGTAGTCTGGAGACGAGCTGTAATTCCAGGGGATCCCCAGTCCCACCTGGAGGCCGGCATCCCTAACAACGAGTGAACTGGTGGGTGAAAATTGGAGAATGTTCCTGGTCAAGTGGCAACCTAAGAAGCCTTTTTCTTTAAACCAAATAGTTGGCTTGGTGACTACATCCGTAATACCTTCAAAGCTCTGAGGTGTGGAGGCCTTCTGTTGTCTAAGCCAGCCCCCCACTCCCCTGTTTGTCCCTAAACCACCAGTGGCTTCTAGCTCCTTGTGTACAGAAGGTGTTGTGAGGCATGTCAGGAGCAGTAAATGGATGCTGTCACACTATCTCGGGTGTGTTGTGTTCACAGCCACAATAACGCTGGAAAGCAAAGGATGTGAGGAATCCTCCTAAAACTGTAAAATAGCGCTCCCTGTGAGCAAATGTGGTTTGTATGGGGTTTTCTGGAAAGCATATATAAGTTCCTGTTTGTTTCTGTTGAAGTGGGGAAACAGCATTGATTCCTGTTGTATTTTGAAACGTTTGAACTCTGGGAAGAAGCATGTTTGTTTTTCTGGGTGGTGGAGGGGGGATTTTTTAAAAACTTTGGTGGGGAGTGGTGGAAGCCGAAGTGACTTCTGTCAGTGTTGAGACTTGGGAATACATAGATTGAAAATAAACATTTTCCTTTCCCTTGTCTAGCAAATTCTGAAGACATTGCGGCTCTAGCGCTATCAAGGGACATTTTTTGTGACATTGTCAGGGGTCATTTCGTAGAAAAAGAACTAGGGGGACTCATTAGCATAACTAATTAGCATATGCCACACCCCCTGACATCACCGGAAGTGTGTCCTCCCCACAGCCGGCGGCGACCTCCAGCAGGCACCAGCAGGGAGCTCCAGGCCCCGCCCTCCCGCACCTCACCCGGGGGGATGGCGTCCCCCCCCCAATGACCCCTGCCTCTGTGTGGTTGACCTTTTTTTGCACATAGGCTGGCCCCTATTGATGTAACCAGCCAGCAAACAGTCCAGTGGCACCTTTAAGACCAAGTTTTATTCAGGTACAAGCTCTCCCTCCTCTGCGAGGACAGATCTGGGCTCCCTCCCCCATAGCTAGCAATCCAAACAGTCCAGTGGCACCTTTAAGACCAAGTTTTATTCAGGTACAAGCTCTCCCTCCTCTGTGAGGATAGATCTGCAGTCCCCCCCCCAATAGCTAGCAATCCAAAACAGTCCAGTGGAGCCTGAGCGGTGGGTGTTGCCTTCTGACACACTTCCGGTGATGTCAGGGGGTGTGGCATATGCAAATAGGTTATGCTAATGAGTTACACTAATGAGCTCCTGCACCTCTTTTTCTACGAAATGACCCCTGATAGAAAATAAGCTGACTCTTCCAAGTCATGAGGAGGGAATCGGTGAAAATCAGCACAACCTTATATACGAGTACTGGCACCTACCCCCCACCCCGGTCACACTTCTGAAAAGAGAACAGGAAATTATGCCTTTTCCCTAGCTCAGCAGAACTGCAACAGGAACCGGTGGTCTGTTTCTGGGAAACCCTGCGCAAATGCAAATCACTCTCTATCCGCCGTGTGAACTGCATCCATGTGGCATTATACCTTTTGCGTCGTCTTGGGTGAAGACCTATCTATGCTGCCATTCCCTCGCAGATCTGCCCCTCTTAGCTTCACTTCTCCGGCACCAGCCCCCATATTCGACCTTGGAGGTTTTTATTTGGGGGCTGAAAACCAAAAAGCCCAGCAATAAATAGTAAGTCTGTTTCCACATGGATGATGATGACGAGCCCGGAGTTCACTGCTGTTGGGAAAGAGGGTTGGTTTCTTTCTTCCTACTTTCCCACAGACTCATGGCAATTCCATGCACCACCCAGATTTCCCTCCACTTTTCTCCAGTCTCTGCGTTGCTCCTTCTTGTTCTCTGGGCAACTTTGTCCCTCTTACTTCAGCTCATCCATCTTCCTCCATATCTGTTTACCTCCTGACTGAGATCTCACCACCCTAATGTTCCCTTTTCAGTGGTGCCAGTGAGGTCACGAAATCACCCGACTATTGTCCGCTTCACTCCTCTCTCTATGGGTGTCCCAACCCCTTTCCCCAGAGGACATGATCTCCCTTTGGAGACGTTTGTGAAACCATTTCCCTTATCACACAGAGTGATAAAGTATAGTCACTTTTGGTTTTAGGCATGTAAAAGTAAAGGTAAAGGTTCCCTTGCTCAAAAGCCAGTCCGAACTGCTAGGTTGGCAGGAGCTGGAACTAGAGATGGGAGCTCACTCCATCATGCGGCACACTCGGGTCTCGAACTGCTGAACTACTGACCTTCCACAGCCTGCAGTTCGGCGTCTTAACCACTTGAGCCACCGCAGCTCCATTTAGGCATGATTTCATGACAATTCCCTTTTACCCTGAAGGTATCTCTTGTAATGGTGTAGCATGAGGCTCATTTGGTACATTTAACACAGGTTAAGCACTGAGACAGCATGGCTGTGGCATCAGGGGCGGATCCTGAGGAAGGATGAGTGGCCACACATATTTGCTACGTGCAGCAAAACCCAAAAGGAGTGCTTGCTCAGATTGGAAGGGAAGTCTCCAGGCTTCTTAAGAACTTCTTGAAAAGGTGCATTTTAAAAGCACTTTTCTTTAAACCCCTCTTGAACTGTTCAAAAGATACATTGAGTGAACTTTCTTCAGCCCCAGATGTTTCTCTGTTCGTACCGGAGAATTGTTTATGCTCACCCATAACCTGCAGTTTACAAATGCTGAGCTCTGTGAAGGGGATATCATGGTCCTCAGGACCACCACCAAGACAAAAGAGAAGAACGTGGTGACAGCTGTCAGAACATCGCTTCCTTTGTCCCTTCGAACTGTGTTTGCAGCTGCAATATCTTGGTAGGGCAGAGTCCCATTGGAAGAAGGGCCAGGCATAACTTTGTCCAGTATTGTGTGTGAGAAAGAGCATTGTCTCTAGCAGATGAGATTCATGTGGGTTACAGAAGGTGAAGTGGGCCAAGTTTGGGTTTCCCCTTGCAGAAACAGACCTGGTGGATCTCCTGATGGCACCTGGTATTTTTGGCCACTGTGTGACAGAGTGTTGGACTGGATGGGCCACTGGCCTGATCCAACATTGGCTTCTCTTATGTTCTTATGGGAGGGAGTTATTTCCCCCTATTTGGTGCTACATGTGCACAAAATACTCCACGAAGAGCAGCAAAAATGGCACAATAATTCTTCCCCAACCCTGTTCAGCACAGAAAAAAGCTCTCCCTGCAGTGGTGTTCCAACTAAGCCCATTTGGGCTCTCCTTTGTTTTTCAAAAGCCATCCCCCACAGCTGCTATGAGGCTGCTGGGAACCCAACTATTTTAAAAACTTCATGTGTCGTTTGGCCTTCAAGAGGGAAATGCATTCTGCCCAATGCTCAGATAGCCTGTTCACCCCCCCTCTGGTTGCCAGTTAAAGGTTGGAAAAATCCTGGAAATTTGGAGGTGAAGTTTGGGGAGGGGAGGGATTTGAATGGGGTATAATGCCATAAAGTCCACCCTCCAATGGGACTATTTAGTTGCTGACCTAAGAGCAGCAGTTCTCTTACAAAGGGATTTCAAAGGGAGATTAAAAAGAGGGACTGCTGAATTGGACCTGATAATAAAGCTCAGGACAATGCATCCTCCTGGACTGGATTGGGACCTAGGTTTCTTGTCTCATTACCAATGCTGATTTCTTCATGCCTACTGCCTCTCTGCATATCACACACTTAATCCAATCAAGCCTGCTATTGTCATTTGCCTGCTATTGTTATTCGGCATCTGAAAGCACACCATTCTCCAAGATAGAAGGATGGACTCACATTCTAGCTGTATCTGTGAGCAATGACACCCCGCCACAAATTTTGTTGGTCTTGAAGGTGCTACTGGACTCCTGCTCTTTTCTACTGCTACAGACAGACTAACACGGCTACCCATCTTGATTTTGGTCCAAGATGCTCACCTGACTTCACAGCTGCAGCTGATTAACAAACAAGAATTTACAACTCCATTCACCCCCCAGGGAAGAACCTTGCTGGCTCTTCTGGTGACTTTCCACATGACTTGCTTCTACTGTGCCCTTCCCACTATAGGCAAAACGGCCTTCACTAATACAGCCTTACTTTGATCTCTGCCTGGGTCAAACTAGGCTGCTTTGCTTCCTGAAATGCTTTAGCCTTTGTCTACCTTTTCTCTACTCTGCCTGTGGTTGGCTCTGCCTATACCCTCCTAGATCATTTCCCAAACGAAACAGCTTTGGAAACTAGGTTATCCTCACTGGGTAGAATGCAAATAGATCACCTGACATTGTCATTCATACCTTGGTGTTTTCCAGACTGGACTACTAGGCTAGGCTGAGAAAGGATGATCGGCCCATGGCACAATCCAGGTTTCTTCTTTTGAAGAGGAACAACAGCTGAGTTAAACATAAAAGCTCTAGTCCCATTGTCTAGCTTATTTTAGAAGATTTATATTCCACTTTTATGCTCAAAGCAGTTTACAAGTAGTAAGTATAGTAAGTAAATTGAAATACAACTTTGTTACAGCAATATTAAAACATCAAAACTCAAGCTGCAATCTTAGGGTCAAGTTAGCTGTCACTCTGACCTGTTGAAAGCAACATCGCCCTTATGTATGGTGGAAGTGGGAGTTTAGTCAGGACTGACTGCTCAGAACATGGAACTTTGGTGACGTAATACTTTTATTAAAGGCACATCTCTATGTCACAGATAAACTGGTATAAAAGTCCTTCCTTCGCCTCAAGGAACCCTGGGAAATTATGCTTTGGCAAGAGGAGAGGCTAGGGAATTCTACGAATTCTCAGTGCCCTCGTCAAAGAAAAATTCCCAGGATGCTTTGGGGGAAGGAGGAGCACAATTTTATACCATTTCTCAAACCTATATAGGTTTGTAGCGTAGGCGCCCCTAAATTCAAGCCATAGCTCTAACTGAGAAATAACTATGGCTCATGGGCAACTTAACAGGACAGTGACGGTTCTGTTACAACTACAGTTCTGTCATCCAGTTGTCTACAGTCCAGCAGCGTAAGTGTAGTAAGAGGCATACTAACTTGGCGCTCAAAATAACATAACCATAGAAGCACAGCCAGCCGGTGCCTGGTCAACACACAGTCAAGACTTGCAAAAGTGAGCTTGGCTGGGGAACAAACTTAAACATCCTACCCCCTCTGTCCCACCACCATGCACAAAATGGTACAGTGTGCTTGAATCCTTAATCCCCAAGGGAAGAGTCTTGCCTTGAATGTTTTCCAGGCAACCACCAAGGGACTCCACCCTGCTGAAGCTTCACCCCCTCCCTTCCACCTCCAGTTCCAGTCCATCCAGTTCTGCTGGAGAGATGCAGCTACGGCCAGGTTGGCATTCTGCAAGTGGGTGTCGGGCACATCAGGCACACTTGGGCTTGCCAAGGCAGAAGGGCGGCTCTGGAGCAGGAACCAGAATGTTACTAAAGACGGATTGGTGGTTCTCCGGCAGGACTTGGGGATTCTGCGCCATTATCTCCAGCACGTTGTTGCGGATTTCTTTAGGGACGTCACCGCGCACTTCTAGGAGCATGGAAACGTGGTCGTCGCTGCGGGGAGAATAAGACAGAAGGCATGTTACTTCTCCTCGGCCCTCCTGCTGACGATCTCTCCCCAAATATCTTCGGTAGCCAGGAGCACCTGCTTCTTCTCCTTGCTTTGTCAGCCGGCCTCTTGGTTACACAGATGTTCAGAGCTTCAGCAGGCAATTCCTGTTTCCAGCTGGAGAAACTGGATTCCAGTTCTGGTTGCCTTAAGATGAGGGCGTGAAAACACTTCCTTGCTGTGGCAGTGGCAGCAACAAGCAGTGTGGGGACTGCATCCGCCCGCTCTGTTCCCATCCTGCTTACTCGGCTGCTGACCCACCGCTGCTCCTCCCTGCTGTGCCTGTGCACCCTGACCCCCTAAACTTGATGGGGGAGGGGGGCTGGAAAATGTTTGGGGGAATTCACCCCCCCCCCCGAGGCCCTTTTTTCAGTGGAAAAAAATGGAAAGTTACATGAACACGTACATGAAGCTGCCTTTACCAAGCCAGACCTTTGGTCCATCAAGGTCATTGTTTACTCAGACTGGCAGCAGCTCTCCAGGGACTCAGGCAGAGGTCTTTCACAGCACTGACTGCCAGATCTTTTAACTGGAGATGCCGGGGATTGAACCTTGGACCTCCTGCATGCCAAGCAGATGCTCTACCAATAAGCCATGGCACCCCAAAAAACTCCTAGAATGAGCGAAATGCTTTTAAAGACAAGGTGGGCGTGCTGTAGACATGTACGGCTCTTAAATCCAAGATGCGTTTCTGCACGTAGAAGGATACCTGATCTTCATGAGGGCAGCACATGGGGCTTTTTGTTGCTTCTGTGGCCCTTTTGACCTGACTCTTCACCTGTGGTTCACCCTTTTGCCTCTCCCTCAAACCATGACACATATACCCACCGACTAGGTGACAAGTGGTTTATTTCCTACCTTTTTGGAGGGGGGGGGGAAGATCAGAAGGAGATGGGGCAGAAACTGCAGCGAAAAAAGCTTCACTGAGAACTGAGCACTCTCTAACCAGTAGCCACAGAAGGAAGAAAACAGTACCTAAACAGAGCTACATCTACCTGTGCAGATATTATTATTGACCCTTCGTGTAACCCCCTTTTCTGAACAAATAATATAGTTTATGTTATTTAGCACAAAGCTTGTGTTTTCTGTTTAAGTCCTATTTTTCCTACTTTTCACATAGCAAAAAGTAAGGTACACATACTAAGGCAGCGTAGGGGACAATCAGCTTGCAGTTTTCTCTCAAAAGCTGCAATTTTTTGCTTGTAGGAAACTAAGGCAATTATAACTTTTACATCACATGTTGCAGTTTTATATCCTAAGTTAGTTATAAATGATGTATTTTTTGTTGTTAAAGCAGTAAAATTAGTTTAGGTTACATAGGACAGTAAATATTGAATATTTCAATTTCCCCCCAAACTTTTTTCCCCCCCTGGAAAAGAAACTCTGGAATTATTTATTTATTTATTCATTTATTATATTTGTATCCCACCCTCCCCACTTTTGGCGGGCTCAGGGCGGCGAACAACATAAATATCAATAAATACATTAAAACTCCCATATGTATACTAAAACCAACATTCCATTAAAATTACAATATAAACTATACTGCACATAGCTATATGACAGATGGCGACACCCACATCCACTCATTTGAATGGCGGTTTATCATCCAACTGGTGGTGATATTGGTGTTAAGGCCAGGTTGATGATGGTGTTGATATTAAGGCCAGGGCCATAATATCGTGGCGGCACCCTCATCAAAAGCCTGGCGGAAGAGCTCCGTTTTACAGTCCCTGCAGAACTGCAAAAGGTCCCTCAGGGCCCTGATGTCATCCGGGAGCTCATTCCACCAGTGAGGGGCCGCCATGGAAAAGGCCCTGGCCCTCGTTATGGCCAACCTGGAGTCTTTCGGGCCCGGAAGGGCCAGGCAGTTTTGGGATCCAGATCTTAATGCTCTCTGGGGCACATACGGGGAAAGGCGGTCCCTTAGGTAGATAGGTCCCCGACCATATAGGGCTTTAAAGGTTAAGACCAGCACCTTGAACCGTATCCAGTATGCTATAAGCAGCCAGTGCAGTGCTTTTAGGGCGGGCTGGATGTGTTCCCGCATGGGAAGACACAACAACAGCCTCGCCGCTGCATTCTGCACCAGCTGCAGCTTCCGGATTTGGGACAAGGGCAGCCCCATGTAGAGAGCATTGCAGTAATCCAATCGTGACGTGACCATTGCGTAGATCACTGTTGGGAGGTCATTGCATTCAAGGAAGGGAACCAGCTGCTTAATTAGCCGTAGATGGTAAAAGTCAGATTTCGCAGTGGCTGCTACCTGGGCCTCCATCGTCAGGGAGGCATCCAGGAGCACTGCCAGACTCCTAACCTCCGGCGCTGGCACCAACGGCGCCCCATCAAAGGTCGGGAGAGGGATCCTTAACCTCGGACCGCTTCGACTCAGGCACAGGACCTCCGTCTTCATCGGATTCAATTTCAGTTGGCTCAATTTAAGCCAACCAGCCACGGCCTTCAACACCGGGTCCAGATCTCCCGGACTAGAGTCTGACTGGCCGTCCAACAACAGATAGAGCCATCCAACAACATATCTCTACCCCTCCCGTTTCCTCCGTAAAAGGCTTTTTTGTTCTCTTTCCTAGACACATCTTAGTGCTACAGTGAGGCTTGGGAAAATAATGAAGCTCCCTGTCTGCATCTACGCTGGCCCGAAGGACCTCATCGGTCCCTCTTCGTTCGGGTAAGTTCCAGTTCCCCTGTCTCTCCTGCACTCTCGCCCGCCCTCCTGCTATCTGAGCTCTCGGGATGTCTGGGCTCATTTCTGCTGGGCCAACTGTATTTACCCCCTTGGAACCGCTTTTCAGGGGGTCCATGCGTTCCCAAACCTGTGAAGGGAACACTGATTCTGATAGCCTGGAAATCATTTATCGCTCTGGGAAATCTCTAGGCCCCACCTGGAGGTTGGCAACCCTATTTCCTGCTGTCCATGAAGGGTAACATCTGCATATGGAAGTAGATAGAGGATACCAACCACTGAGACTTGTATTTCCTTTGACAAGCACTAGAGGGTGCTACAGATAATTTCCTAACATTTGGAATTTAGGTGCTCTACCTGATGTCTGGGTATTTTGTCACAAACCCCGGCACTTCCAATTCCAGCATGGTGGGATCCTTGAGGCTAATCAGCTCCTGTAGATCAGCGATCACTCTGAGGGACTGATCACTCTCCTCCAAGCCCTGGAGAAAGAAACAGGTGCCATGGGAGTCAGGCAGGTGCATCCTACTACCCCTGTCCTCCCACTCCATTCCCCTAAACAGATGTACTTTTAAAATCATCCCTACAGAAAACGGCTGTTGTAGGGACAGTGTTCTCTGTGTGGCAAGCCCGGAGTTCACTACTCCTGCAGGGAAATTGGGAACCAGAGTGCAGAATGCACAAGATTGCTGAGCTCATCGTGAGAAGTAACTTGGCAGAAGAGTCGGGGAGAGATAAGACTGAGGCTGTCTTCACAACACATTCCTGAATATAGTAGCTCATAGTGGGGTGACTATGTAACTTTCAATGTATAGGGGAGGGGGAAGGAGTGAAGGGAATCTAATAAAGCCTGCTTCTCCAAGTAGGAGGAGACAGATTTCTGCAGAGCTGTTTTGTGTCATGTCTTCTTCGAATCCTTCCACCTTCAGGCTGTGGCCAGTTGCCACCCAGTCTCTAAGTTGCCCTTTCTGGCCAAGGTGATTGAGAGAGCAGTGATGCACCATCTTCAGGACTTTTGGGGCAACTTATCTGCTCTGGACCCTTTCCGGTCTGGTTTCGGGCTGGGCTATGGGACGGAGATTGTGCTGGTGTGTGTGTATGTGTGTGTGTGTGGGGGGACAGCTTGGTGACACCCCCCCCATCGCCGAGCTTAAAGAATCTCGGAGGCGAAGATTTTGAAGAAGAGGTTTCAAAATTAGAGCCTCCTCTTTGTGATTCTCTGTAGGCCTGGCTAGCAAAGTCAGCCCGCTTTTCAGGAGCGATTCCCACTGCTTGCCATGCCATCCCCTTCTCCGGGAAAACAAGGCCGCCGTTCCCCTCTCTCACCAGGCTGCAGAAGAGCTCCTTCAGCTGAGAGGCATCCTGCAACATCCGCCGGCCCATCTGATTCCTCTCCTCTGCATTCCGGCACACGATCTTCTTCTGCAGCAGTGCTTTCACGTACTGGCTCATGACCAAGTGCTCAGAGTCTGACAGGAGATACTAGACATCGAGGGGAGAAAGACTTGGCTCAATCATTCTAGCGACTGCTGGTGGGGGCAGAAGTACTAAGGCGAGGGCGGAAGTGCTATCTGTGCCTGCCAGAAACAGAGCTGGTGCTGTCTGTATCTGAAGGTAGGAGTCCTCACAGTAAAAGATACAATTCGTGAATGTATAGATATGATGTAATCCAGGGGTCCCCAACCTTTTTGAGAAGAAGAAGAGTTGGATTTATACCCCCGCCGTTCACTTGGAGTCTCAGAGCAGCTTACAATCTCCTTCCCTTCCCCTCCCCACAACAAACACCCTGTGAAGTAGATGGGGCTGAGAGAGCTCTGTTGAGGACTACTCCTGAGAGAACAGCTCTGAGAGAACTTGTGACTGACCCAAGGTCACACCAGCAGCAGGAGTGGGGCATCAAACCCAGTTCTCTCAGATTAGAGTCCGCGCTCCTAACCACTACACCAAACTGGCTCTCAAAGCCCATAACCACCTTTGGAATTTTGATAGAGCACAGAGGGTGCAGTTGCAAAATGGCTGCCGCAGCTTACCTTCAGTAACACAGTAAAGATCTTTGTGCTGTAGAAGCTGCCGAACCACAGGTTTAAGAAACCTGCACAGCCAATCAAATCTCCAGTGGCCAATTAGAAGCCTTGCTGGGCAAAAGCCCCATTTGGCCCCACCCACTTTCTAAAAACACTTGGCGAGTGCCAGGAAAGGTGCTTGTCGGTGCCATGATGCTCACAGGCCCCGTGTTGGAGACCCCTGATGTAACCAGTTCCTTCCTGGAACTGCTTTAGGCCACAGTATGTGAAAAGTACGCAAACGGAGAGTGATTTCAGCAAAGCGTACTTTATTCTATCCGGAACAAGACGACTTTGGCCGCCTCGCAGGCCAGCTTATATCCCCCGAGAAACCGCCACCCAAAACACACCCCTACTTCCCTATAGGTTATTTACAGTGGCCAAGAGTCCCATAGGCTCTCGGCTGGGAACCTAGACCCCTGATTGGAGCGGGCTAGGATCCGCATAGTCCATTGTCTCTTGGAGCGAAGCTCTGCGTTTGTCTCTGGACTTGTCTGGACTGGATACATTACAGGATGCTTTGCAAGTTTGTACATATCAAAGATCTTTTAAAAGAACTGTGTACCTAAAAACACAACTAGGGATGCCAGCCTCCAGGTGGGGCCTGGGGATCCCCTGGAATTACAGCTCATCTCCAGACTACAGGGATCAGTTCCTCTGGAGAAAATGGAGGCTTTGGAGGGTGGACTTTGTACAGTGGGGTGGCACTGTACCCCACTTAGGTCCCCATCCTCCCCAGGCTCCATCCCTGAATCTCCATGAGTTTCCCAACCATAATTAGGCAACCCTAACACTGCCCCCAGCCAGGGGCCCGAGGGGGACCTGCCAACCCTAAACACAACATATGAATGTACAAATATGTATGTCCTTCACCTATACATCTGAGAATCAGGACAGCCTACTGGTTAACTATATAATGCCACAAGGCTGCATCCATACAGCTAGGGATATTTTGGGGCAGGAACGCACAGGCTGTCCTCTGCAAATGCATGCGCGGTGCCAACAGATCATCCACACCGCTGTCTTCCTCGCACTGTCCTTGCCCCCCCCCCCCCCCCCCCCTGGACTTGTAAAATGCCTAAATCATCTCTCTGTTGCAGCTCTCCATCTCCAGATGTAGCCGTAGAATGGAAGCACCTGATACAGCATCCTTGTTGAAGCTAAGCAGGTTAGAGCTTGGAGAAGAGCCCACACCTTCTGCCCTGAGCTTGGGGGAGGGACCGCTAGCTGAGCAGTCTAGGTTGGCATGCCTAAAGTCCCAGGTTCAGTTCCTGATGTCTCTAGCTTAAAAGATTTCAGGTAGCAAGGCTGCAAAAGACCTCTGCCCAAGAGCTGGAAACCTTCTGCTAGTTTGTCCAGGGACAGAAGGACTAGTGGTCTGGTTCAGTATAAATCAGCGGTGTGTATTCAACTGATTTGGGTTGAAATTAGATCAAAAGAGTTTTCGGCTAAACCTTAGGAAGAACTTCCTGACAGTTAGAGCAGTTCCTCAGCAGAACAGGCTTCCTCGGGAGGTGGTGGGCTCTCCTTCTTTGGAGGTTTTCAAACAGAGGCTAGATGGCCATCTGGCAGCAATGCTGATTCTGTGGACTTAGGTAGATCAGAAGAAGGGAGGGCAGGAAGGGTTGCATCAGTGCCTAGTTCTCGTGGACCTTTCTTACACACTGAGGGAAATGCTGATCGCTGCTTTGGGATCAAGCAGCAATTTTTCTCCAGGCCAGTTTGGCTGGAGATCCTGTAGGTTTTTTGTCATCTTCTGGGCATGGAACAGGGGTCACTGGGGGTGTGGGGAGGAGGTAGTTGTGAATTTCCTGCATTGTGCAGGGGGTTGGACTAGATGACCCTGGAGGTCCCTTCCAATGCTATGATTCTACTTGGGCCGTAATTTACAGATTGCAAGTGTAAGAGTCCAGGTTCGATCCCCAGCAACTCCAGTTTAGAAGGATGTTGGGAGTCTTGGGAAAGATTTTCTCCCGAAATCTTGGAGAACTGCTTTTGGTTTCAGTACATTGTACAGGGCTAAATGTGCTGGTCTGATGTTGCACAAGGCAGCTTCATATGTCCAACCAATGTATGATAGATTGAGGGAGGCTGGCTTCAAAGGCCAGAAAGTGGCCAGCTAGCAGCAGGGATTCCTCCCACCACTTCCCACCCCCAGATCTTACCGTGCTGAAAGGTTTGTGAGCCCTGCAGAAGCCTTTCACGTGGGTGTCGATCACCTCACATATGTTACCCATCATCTGGGGGTCAGACAGCCATCGACGGGAGGGCAGCTGGGCAAACAGAGGCTGGAGCCAAAAGGGATACTTACATTTATTTATTTTTAAGTACATCTCTCTTCGTCCTTACCTTTGAGAAGGAAGCCCACAGCAGCTTACAAAGCACACATGAAAATACAGGCAATTCTCATATAAAACAGCATAATCAATACATGGCACACACGTATCATAAAATCAGGAGGAAGTACACAGGAAGGGGTTCAGAGCCTGTTCAACTGTGAGGAGAAGAAGAAGACGATGACAAAGAAGAAGAAGAAGAAGAATTGGATTTATACCCTGCCCTTCACGCGGAGTCTCAGAGTGGCTTACAATCTCCTTTCCCTTCCCTGTGAGGTAGGTAGGGCTGAGAGACCTCTTTCGAGGACTGCTCTTGAGAGAACAGCTCTGAAAGAACTGTGACTGATCGAAGGTCACCCAGCTGGCTGCATGTGGAGGAGGGGGGAATCAGACCCAGTTCTCCCAGATTAGAGTCTGCCACTCTTACCCACTACACCAAATTTGCTCCATTTCAAGTTCAAATTTTAATGGTCCTTAATTCCAGCGTTAGTCTGTTGTAGCAAAACAAACCAGAAGTCCAGTGGCACTTTAAAGATTAACACCAGTTATTTCGTTATGAGCGTTTGTGAGACAGAACTCACTACTTCTTGTTTAAGGTAAAGGTAAAGGTTTCCCTTGCTCGAAAGCCAGTCGAGTCCGACTCTAGGGTTGCGGTGCTCATCTCCGTTTCAAAGCCGAAGAGCCAGCGCTGTCCAAAGACGTTTCCGTGGTCATGTGGCCGGCATGACT